TCACCCGCAAAACCCACGTTTGGGAAAAACCGGCGCTCATTACTTATAACCAGGTATTTAGTATTTACTGTGGATAAAGTTCAAATACAAAGGTAACATTCAATAGCGGTTTATGTCTTAATTAATCTACTCGAAGAGGCATTTATATACCTTCGTGCAACTTCATCCTCGCACATCACCAAGTTTTTGGTCTTTGCAAAACATGGCAGCTCCTTCTTGAACTCTTCATCTTCGTAGCACCAACAACAACACAAATGTGTAACGATATGACTGATTGAAACTTCAAGACAAAGACAAAAATATACCTAAGATGATTTTATACTATAAGGAACAAGTGTATCTTAGATCATCATGCAAAGTGTGGATGTGAACCAATTTCTTTTCGGATTCAAAATCAAATTTTGCATGAAGAAAATGATGATTTTTCTCACAAAAATGAATATATTGGTGGCAGCAGCCTTCTCAAAACAACGAGAATGAAACATTAAGGGATGTAGGGATGAAGTCTAACCTTATATGGAAAGAGAGGACTAAAAACAACAACGGGAGCTCCGATGATTGTGTCACATAACTTATTTAAAAAGACACGTGACGTAAAACATGTAAAACTAAACATTATATAAATATGCTTAGACGTCTTGTCATCTAGATACAATTTTAAGTCCAAAAATGAATCACGAAGAAAAATAATCAAGAAGAAAAAAATAAGTCACTGAGTGTTACGTCAGAAGAACAAAGATTAACTTGATGGTTAGATTACTAATTAAGGAAGAACCAATGGCGTCAAAATTTGAATCTTTAGCCTTTTTTGGGTAAATTTCAAATGACAGGGATCAAACTGCCACTTCATCACCTAAACTCGAAGGGCACACTATTTAGCTGCCCTTTATTTTTTAGCACAACTTTGGTTATATTTAAAACGACGGTAGAAATTTTTATCGTAACAAGAGACTATTAGCATCCATAAAAAGGGTTAACTAGTTTTAAGCAATGATGGATTGTGATTTCCTCTTTCATTAATCAGTCTAACATGACAATCCAAAAATAGGCATGTTATCGAATAGGAACCAACTGCTAAGATGCCAAGAAACTATCTCCAACTTGGGGAAAAATAAAAACTTCTAGCACCTGCATATTCTGCACCTGCATGTGATCCTAGACATTGTTAATCCATTTATAATACAAAACATATTTACTGACTGCATGCCTCAAACGAATTTGGTTATTAGAGTTTACAGCTCACCTCTACCACCAAACTGTGATTGGCTGGCTAGCTCTCTGAATTCGACTTGGATCTGATCCAAGAAAACTATAAACTAAAAAGGGTATAGTGTTTAATTATGATTAGTGATCGTGAGCCGTCCATTTTAGATAAATTAATCAACAGATAAGATATAAAATTATGAGAAAAAGGGAGAGGGAGGGAGACTTTGTTTTTATAAAAAACATGGAGCTTGATCTCATATATTCGCGGACAATACCAATACGAATGAAACTGTGGATAATTATATTTCAGGATTTGTGTCATGTTCTTGCTTATTTTATGTGGTTTTAGAATTTTAAATAGCTCATCCATATCATTGTGGTCGGCTTTGATAATCTAATGATTAATAAATACTAATTTATATGTTGAAGTGGAGACAAATTTTAAGTTCATCTCCTAATTACCCACTTAGTATACTTTTAATTAGCGGAGATGTCATGCTACAAAGCGTAGTAGCTAGTTGTGGAATTATAATATATAGCATATCTGCATATGACAGCAGAGCACAACAACAAATTAAGAATGGCATTATGAAACCTTATTTTAGCATCGTGATGGCCACATATTCTACGGCCCCTGCCACAAAAGAAAAATGCTTGAGATGTGGAAAAAAAATGTCCTAAAATTTTGAATCTCATAACATGTGACACCATGTTATTTAATTTTTCATTATAGTGAACTTTATTTGTTTTTAACAAGTAGCATATTGTTAATTAGGGATGAGTGTGGACTAGTTTGGTTCGATACATACCAAATCAATCTAACATCCTGGTTCATATTGATTCGATTTACGGCGAATCAAACTACTTTCATTTAGTGACCAGTTTAGTGTTGAGAGGATCAATCCCACATCAGAGAAATGAGAGACTTTGAATATGTTTATAAGAGGTTGGGCTGCTCCCAATATTAGCAATTGGTTTTATGGTGGAACCTCAACTTTCTTCAAGGTATTAGAGCAGATTGTCCCATGTGTGACGCCCAATGACCACATGTGCTAAGTTTGAATTGACCATATGAAAATATAATTTCTTTTTGGTAATTAATCCTATAAGAATATGATGTAATTTGCTTATTTGCTACTCATTTATTAGATGACATTGACGGTTCGTCCTTTTCGTTTTAACGATGGATTAGGAGAAACCTAAATGGATAGGTGAGATGATAGCAAACAAATCATGTATATGCATACAAACAACCTAACCCTAAAGAATATACCGTTGTTAATTCCCCCGCGGCCCACAATTTCAATTTAATTTTTATAACCACATTAGTTTATATGATGATGAGATGCTTCGTTGTAAAGCATTTTGTTTTTTTATAATTTAAATATCTTCACATAAATGTTACCATGATCTTGTTTATTTACATGGAATTTCGCTTTCTTTCAACAACTTTTGGGATAGAAACAATCATCCCAACATATAGTTACATCATTTTCTCTCTTTACTTGTACGTACTCAATCAGTAGCGAATTCATGAAATTTTTATACCAAGTACATGACATATCCTAAATTTGCATCACTCTTCGCTTTCTTGCATAGTAGTTCAAAAGTCTATGCCGTAGCTTTTTCGGATGATTTCTATCAAACAATTTGTTGTTATGGCAGTTATACTCTTCTCACATAGAAATTCTTAGAACATTGTCGTAAGTTAAAAATGGCAAGTAGGAGCAATAGTCTTCATTCGTCTTTATCTGAATTCAACAATGTAAATAAGTAAATCATGTTGAATTTGAATTTTGAATGATCACACATTTTGACCAATGCAATATTACTCTTAACAAATGAAAAATGAATTTAATCACTATAATTATGTTGGGAATTCCTTTTTGTTTGATGATTAGTGCATGATAAAAGACAAGTGAAGCCAGCACCAACTAATCACACTTAGCCACAAATTATAAATAAAATAATATTGGTCGGTCTAAATTTTCGAGGATCATTGGGAGGACCCACAACCGCAATGACGCAAAGGCAAAACGTTGGCCGGTGAATGTGATCAAACTTCTCCATCATAGCTGATCAGTCAAGCCTCCAAGTCACATCAGCCGTCCACGTGGCAAGATGGGAACAAATCGGAGGCCCGCCTACTAGCCCTCCCAGACAATGACAGGTGGCTGCCAATTGTACATGTCGTTGAATTTCAGATGTCACCGGATGGAAACCGACTATTCCGGTTACTCATCGTGTTAACGTTGTCATTAGGGACCCCTATATATAACTGTCACTATGACACTAACCAAAAGCAATCAGAGCAAAAGCAGCTTATTTTCCTCGTGACTGTCCGTCTAAAGGCTTTCTGATTAAGTCAAAAGTCCAAATGGCGATCAACAGAATTGCAGTGGGAAGCGCAGCTGAGTTTGGTCAGGCTGATGCTCTGAAAGCAGCTCTTGCTGAGTTCATCTCAGTCCTCATCTTTGTTTTTGCTGGGGAAGGGTCTGGCATGGCCTTCAGTAAGTCACCCTCTCCATTTCCCAATTCGTTTTACGTAACTTTCGTTCAAACGTATTATATATTATCATACTGTAAATCTAAACTATATACTTCAAGCACGGATCTTAATGATCTATGTTGAAGTCACCTCTTTCATTTCCTACTTTGTTTTATGTAACATTCGCTCAAACACATTATGTTCTACTTATAATAAGAGATGGAAGAATAAATTGGTTAGGAACTTGCCACTTAGAAATGAGAAATATTATTAAACCGTAGATCTAAGTGATTATTTATTTATTTATTATGTCATAGTACGCATTGCTTAATTTTTTTGTCTTCTGTTTTTGCAGACAAGCTAACTGACAATGCATCAACCACACCCGCCGGCCTTGTAGCTGCTGCCCTGGCGCACGCCTTCGCCCTTTTTGTCGCCGTCTCAATCGCCGCAAACATCTCCGGCGGGCATGTCAACCCTGCCGTCACATTCGGAGCCTTCATTGGTGGCCACATCACTTTCGTCAGGACTATCTTGTACTGGATTGCCCAGCTGATCGGAGCCGTCGTTGCTTGCTTGCTCCTCAAGTTTGCGACCGGCGGATTGGTATGCCACTAACCCATCGTCCCTAATTAATACTTTCAATCGAAACAACCAATTTTTTTAACATGTTAATTGATTTGATGCAGGAAACATCTGCTTTCTCCCTATCATCTGGCGTCAGTGTATGGAACGCTCTGGTCCTCGAAATTGTGATCACCTTCGGCTTGGTTTACACCGTGTACGCAACCGCCGTGGACCCCAAGAAGGGCAGCATCGGCACCATTGCACCCATTGCCATCGGTTTCATTGTTGGTGCCAACATCTTGGTTGCCGGTGCCTTTGACGGTGCATCCATGAACCCCGCAGTCTCCTTCGGCCCAGCTGTCGTCAGCTGGACATGGGACAACCACTGGGTCTACTGGCTCGGACCATTTATCGGCGCTGCCATTGCCGCCGTCGTCTACGAGCTCATCTTCATCGGCCCGGACACCCACGAGCAGCTCCCTACCGCAGACTACTAAGAAGTTTCAAGTTTTTTTTTTTTTTTGCTTTTTGGTTTCAGTTCAAGTTGATGAAATGGGTGGTGGTTTGGTGACGTTTTGTAATTTGGATGTTGTTAATTGTTGAATTTGATGTGGAAGTTCTATTGTTTTGTTTTCCGTTCATCATCCGTGTTCAATTTTTTAAAAGAAAAACTAATGAGAATGACTTGAAAACTTTGAATGTTAACGATAACAAAATAAAAGATAAAGTAAATAGTATCATGATTGATTTTTTAGTGTCAAAATGTGATTTTTCATTAAAGTGATTTTCGTTAAAGTTCCCATTTTTAAAAGGAAAAAAAAAAACATTTTTGGTGTAAAGGGGCATGCATGTGTTTGATTAAAATATTAGGTTATATCTCAGTTTACTAACCTCAAGTTTCGTGGTTTTCAATTTACTAACCTCAAGTTTCGTGGTTTTCAACATTTGGTGCATGAAGTTTTTTTCATCTCAGAATCATACCTCAAGTATTAATTTTGGAACAGTCTCATACATTCATTAGTCTGACTGTTAAATCAGCCGTTAACTGATAACGTGACACCCACACCCACAGACAATGACTGATGTCAATATGGGCTCACGTGAATATTAAAAAAAATATTTAAAAAAATTAAAAATTAAAAAAAAAAATATCTGGGCGCCCTACCTCACCCCTCCCGACCCTCCCTCCTCCCTCCTCCCTCCCTTCTCTTCCCTACCCCACCGCCACAAGATGGAATTGAACAGCCAAGATCTTTGTTCAGTTCCTTGATTATATTAACCAGACTTGAGGGGACCTTGACACCTCCCTCCCTTCTCTTCCCTACCCCACCGCCACGAGATGGAATTGAACAGCCAAGATCTTTGTTCAGTTCCTTGATTATATTAACCAGACTTGAGGGGACCTTGACACCCTCAGGAACAGAGAAAGAGAGACCCATGGCTTGACCCGGACAGTGATACGTGTCCTGACCCAGGATTACAGCCTTGACCCTGTCGAAAGAGGTGGAGTTGAGGGCGTTGAAGATCAAGTGAGTGGGCAGATATATGGGAACGCCGCCGCAGAGTTCACTCTCAACGAACTTAGAGGGGTTCTTGGCGTAGGGTTTCTGAAGCTCCGACGGCAACGCTTCCAGCCACGTCTCCTCCACCAACAGCTCCTCCAGTTTCACTCCTTCGCCTAATTAGTAATTACCCGGACCCCAAATTAATCTGCAGAAAGTAATTAATGTAGCGAAATTTGATTTAACTAATTAAATACATTTGGACTTGGAATAGGAGACTCTCTCGGAGCAGATGGAGAGGTTGCGTCTGGCTTTGGCAAGCAGCCTTTGGAATTCGATGCGTGGCTTCTGCTGGGCGGTGAGGTCGGTGGAGGCGGCCGAGGAAGAGTCATTGTTGGTGGTAGACGAGAGTGAGTGGTCGGCACTTACGGTGGAATCGGATTTGAAGCGTTTGGCGGAGGGAACTTGGGCAGGTGGGAAGAGATCGAATAGGGTAGGGTTTTGTTTTTCTTGGTGCCCAGATTTTTTTTTAAATTTTTTTAATTTCTTAAAATTTTAAATTGTTTGGAAGAAGGGAAGGAGGGGGGATGAAACGGACTGGGGGTTGAGGTGATTATATGCCTATAGCTAATCCTACAATTAAGGAATTAGTTAAACCACAAATAATCCCATAATTAAGAAATTTTGTGTATTTACTATAATTCATAAGTCTAAGGGGTAAATATGGTATAAACCACAAATAAGCATACGTGGAATCTCAATTATTGGACCTATTTCAATGGAGTGGACTAATCCTACTAATGGCTCACAAAATTGGATTTATATCCAGTTATCCCTTTTTTTTTTAATTTTTAAATTTTTTTTAATTTTATAATATTCACGTGGGCCTCATATTGACACGTGACGCTCATTTATTGTTTACGTAAGTGTCACGTCATCAGTTAACGACTGATTTAACAGTCAGATTAACGGATGTATAAGACTGTCCCAAAACTAACACTTTAGGTATGAGTTTGGGATGAAAAAAACTTCATGTATCAAATGTTAAAAACAACAAAACTTAAGGATAGTAAATTGAGATTAACCCAATTAATTAAGTATAAATAAGTCAGCTAATTATTAAATTAAGAGATAATCGGGTTGCTATATCATGCCAAAACATGCAACGAAATGGCTAACCACAACTGAGGCACATAGGCCCCAAAATACATGCCGGCCTCTTTGGACCACAAAGATGGATGTGGCGGCAGCATATGCTCTAGGAAGTGGGGAGTAACTCTTATGACTTGAGTACACTGTTATTGCGACATTTCATGATACAATGTTATATGCAGAAAGGCTCACGCATGACATTGTATCTTGTGTACATGACACTACAATGATGGTGTAACAGTGTCATGAAAGTCCTACTCATCATTGTGATGTATGCCATATATCTCATGTGGTGGAAAAACTCTTCATAATACCCTTGTAGTTGCATTCCTTAGCATCTCAAAATCGAACTTTCATTCAAACTTCCTCCATTTTGGACAAATCTGTGCATCACTTGCAAGAGTAAAATACGGACTTCCGAGTCTGCTTCAAGTGTCAAATAGACTTCAATGCCTTAAAATGACCTTTTCCCACACCTCAAATTACTTTCCCCACATCCTTTTATCTTTTTAATATTTTTTTTATATTCTACGCACCACTAACACCTAATAGAAAAAGGGTGGTGTTATCTACACACCTATTTTTACCTCTCACACACCCTTCTCAATTTCCGGCCGTCGGATTGAATAAATTGAAAAAGATTAACGGGCAAAAATTTAACAAGGGTGTGTGAGAGGTAAAATGAGGTGTGTGAATAGCACTACCCTAAAAAAATATGAAAAAAGAGACATAGTCACTTGTCCTATTACACCAACTAACACCTGATAAATACACACACATGCACACACACAGTGGGTTTTGAGTCAGAATCCAGCACATGGATGAGTGACTATAATCCACCGTATAACCTGCAAAAGCCAAAGGACTCAACAGGAAGCTCGGAGAAAAGAGACAGAGCCACTTGTCCTATTACACCAACTACAACAATGGCATCCAATAATTAAAATCTAATGTCGACAACAAGACGACATCAGATATTGAAAGAGACCAGGGACTTGGTACAGTAAAAAAAGAGAGGAGGGGAACAGTAACTGCTCAAAGTATTGAGTGGAAAAAGTTAACTGAGATTGTGTCGTTGAGCATATAATTGCCTGTGGAAAAGGAGCAATTATATTATCTTCCATGGAAGCTGACAGAAAGCTGTTGATGCACAAAACGGGATTGAGATGGTGAAATTACAATCATACAAATGACACGAGTGTTTACGTGGTTCACTCTAAATACGTGCATGTTAGTTTGTAGCATGCGTTTACATAATGTGCACAGTGAAAATGTTTGTGTGTGTGTGTGTGTTTGTGAGTGAGAGAGAGAGAGAGAGCAGTACACTTCGAGATGCTAATCGTAGAGGCGCCACTTTAACTATGTAGAAGCTAGGGTGAACCATGCACATAGACAAAGCTTTAGAGGACCTTAATAGAAATGTACGGTTAGATTAAAAGCATACCTGCTAGTTGGCATCCTGTCCTTGGTACCGGTTCTATCTGGTCCAAACATCCATGGCCGGGGACCTTGATCACAATAGTGAAAGACAAGGAAGAAGTGGTAGAGGAATTGAACATGTATCATGAGTAGTTAGTTTTGCGTAAATTTAAAACAATACTTAGAACGGACCACAGAGAACTTTAACTAGAAAACAGATGAGACTCCATCCACATGAGGTGCAAAAACACCCGTCTCTCAAAAGACATCTGTTTCAGTCACTAGATTACGCTTTTGTGTAGAAGGATCAGAACTTCAATGTATAATTCCACAACTACATGCATCACAAATCCAACACATCGTGCCAAAATATCACTTACTTCCAACAACTAATATCATCAATGAAATTAGAGAGGTTCTGGCGTAGGGTTTCTGAAGCTCCGACGGCAACGCTTCCAGCCACGTCTCCTCCACCAACAGCTCCTCCAGTTTCACTCCTTCGCCTAATTAGTAATTACACGGACCCCAAATTAATCTGCAGAAAGTAATTAATGTAGCGAAATTTGATTTAACTAATTAAATACATTTGGACTTGGAATAGGAGACTCTCTCGGAGCAGATGGAGAGGTTGCGTCTGGCTTTGGCGAGCAGCTTTTGGAATTCGATGCGTGGCTTCTGCTGGGCGGTGAGGTCGGTGGAGGCAGCGGAGGAAGAGTCATTGTTGGTGGTAGACGAGAGTGAGTGGTCGGCACTTGCGGTGGAATCGGATTTGAAGCGTTTGGCGGAGGGAACGGTGGCAGGTGGGAAGAGATCGAATAGGGGTTTTGTTTTTCTTGGTGGCCCAGATTTTTTTTTTTTAATTTTTTTAATTTTTTAAATTTTAAATTTTTTAATATTCACGTGAGCCTCATATTGACACATGACGTCCAGTAATTGTCCACGTAAGCGTCACGTCATCAGTTAACGGTTGATTTAACAACCAGACTAACGGATATATGAAACTGTCCCAAAATTAACACTTTAGATATTACTCTGGAACGAAAAAAACTTTATGTACCAAATGTTGAAAACCACGAAACTTGAGGGTAGTAAATTGAGTTAACCCAATTAATTAAGTATAAATAACTCAGCTAATTATTAAATTAACAGATAATCGGGTTGCTATATCATGCCAAAACATGCAACGAAATGGCTTAACCACAACTAGGAACATAGGCCCCAGAATACATGCCGGCCTCTTGAGAACACAAAGATGGATGGGGCGGCAGCATATGCTCTAGGCAGTGGGGAGCAACTCTTATGACTCGAGTACCCTGCTATTGCAACATTCCATGATATAATGCTATATACAGAAAAGCTCATGCATGACATTGTATTTTTGATACATGACGCTACAATGATGTTGTACCAGTGTTATGAAAGTTCTGCTCATCGTTGTGATGTATGCCATATATCTCATGTGGTGGAAAAGCTATTAATAATACCCTTGTAGTTACATTCCTTATCATCTCAAAATCGAACTTTCATTAAAACTTCCTCCATTTCGGACAAATGCGTGCATCACTTGCAAGAGTAAATACGGACTTCCGAGTCAGATTCAAGCGTCAAATAGACTTCAATGCATTAAAATGACTTTTCCTCACACCCAAAATTACTTTTCCCACACACTTTTATTTTATTTTTTTAATATTTTTGATAGAAAAATATGAAAAAATTAAAAAAGTGTGGGAGAAGTAATCTAAAGTGTGTAAATATAATCTCTCTGGAAAATTTAGTTAGGATATAGATTTACGGTTCGATTTTGATTGAGATTGATAACGAGCTTAATTACAAGGGTAACGTTAAGAGTTTTTTCAACGACATTTGCATGAGATGAGCCATAATTTGGCCACAAAAGCCAAATATAAAAATAACAACATTTGGCCATTTTGTGGTCTATAAATATATGTATGTATGTATGTATGTATAGGGATAGGATCAAGTGACAAACATTTTAACAAACATTTTTACACTTCTTTGTAGCCTTTAGATTTTGTCACATTCAATGGTCTAGACTAAGAGCGATGTGAAGAGTTTTAAACATTAATTGACTTGAATGATGATGTGGATAATAATTAATAAGGAAAATGCTAATCTAAATTGAAAACTAATATCTAATAGAATAAAACTGAAAATAAAAAAAAACAAATAACATTTGAACCCTAATAACAAAAAAACATGAAATCTTTCCTTTGCCGATTAGGTCTATAGTTCTCTCTTCTTTCATTTTATAAAAAATAATCCTAATAATAACAAAAAAAACACGATTTAAGAGTAGAAAATCATGAATCACATGAACTGACAAAACTTAATTTTATCACCTTGCATGTATGAACAATAACATAGAATTTAGGGTTTCATTTTGCTTACCTAATGAAGATTCAAGGCATGGAAGTTGCAAACCTAGGGGAGATGGAGGTTGCATACCTCCTTTCTTATTTTCACGATTATAGCTAGGTTTCTTCCCCTTTTAATTTTAGTTTTAATTTTCTTCCAGATTTTATGTTTTTTCAATTTTTATTTTTATTTTTAATATTATTTAAAATCCACATAAGTATCCAAGTCATTTAATGAATAAATAATAACCCTTGGATGTTATAAAATCTAAGGGTTATAAGAAGTGTAAAAATGCTTTGAGTCAGAATCCAGCACATGGATGAGTGACTATAATCCACCGTATAACGTGCAAGCCAAAGGACTCAACAGGAAGCTCGGAGAAAAGAGACAGAGCCACTTGTCCTATTACACCAACTACAACAATGGCGACCAATAATTAAAGTCTAATGTCGACAACAAGACGACATCAGATATTGAAAGAGACCAGGGACTTGGTACAGTAAAAAAAGAGGAGGGGAACAGTAACGGCTCAAAGTATTGAGTGGAAAAAGGTAGCTGAGATTGTGTGGTTGAGCATATAATGGCCTGTGGAAAAGGAGCGATTATATTATCTTCCATGGAAGCTGACAGAAAGCTGTTGATGCACAAAACGGGATTGAGATGGTGAAATTACAATCATTCAAATGACACGAGTGTTTACGTGGTTCACTCCAAATACGTCCATGTTAGTTTGCAGCATGCGTTTACATAATGTGCAATGTGAAAATGTTTGTGTGCGTGTGGGTGTGTGTTTGTGAGAGAAAGAGAGAGCAGTACACTTCGAGATGCTAATCGTAGAGGCGCCACTTTTAACTATGTAGAAGCTAGGGTGAACCATGCACATAGACAAAGCTTTAGAGGACGTTAATAGAAATGTGTAGTTAGATTAAAAGCATACCTGCTAGTTGGGCATCCTGTCCTTGGTACCGGACCTGCTAGTTGGGCATCCTGTCCTTGGTACCGGTTCTATCTGGTCCAAACATCCATGGCCGGGGACCTTGATCACAATAGTGAAAGACAAGGAAGAAGTGGTAGAGGAATTGAACATGTATCATGAGTAGTTAGTTTTGTGTAAATTTAAAACAACACTTAGAACGGACCACAGAGAACTTTAACTAGAAAACAGATGAGACTCCAACCACATGAGGTGCAAAAACACCCGTCTCTCAAAAGGCATCTGTTTCAGTCACTAGATTACGCTTTTGTGTAGAAGGATCAGAACTTCAATGCATAATTCCACAACTACATGCATCACAAATCCAACACATCGTGCCAAAATATCACTTACTTCCAACAACTAATATCATCAATGAAACGATTGCATAATAGATCAAATGCATAACCAGTATACTATTAAAGTATCATCGGGAAAGAATTGACAACGTTGATCAGGCATCTAAAATAGATGGGAGAGACAAGTTTAGACTTCGATAATTACATAGTCGGAAATGGAGAATGAAGCAAGAATCCACTGCAAGTATTTTACTAAAATCCAATACATGCCTCTCTTTATGTAGTTTTGAGTCCTAAATCACCAGCAACTGGCAAATAATTGGTACCAAGAACCAGATGGTCCTTCACCTTTTCTTCTTCTTGGGGTGCTTACCCAGTTTTGATCGGCGTTGCTTGAACATATGCAGGTAAAGTTTCAAGCAGAGGAATGGGTAGCAGACAAGCAAAACCTGAATTAAGAAGATTCCAATGATATTAATCACAACGGTAAAAGCTAACAATAACTGAAACATTAGTTAAGGCGTTAGAAAAGAGCAGAAGTTTCCCCCCGTTGCATGGCTTCTGAATGTGTGCATTGAAGACTAAAAACATTGATTGAAGGAACCAGATGGAAGATTTAAAGAGTAATATATTTATAGAGGCGCCTTGGAGGACCAAGAAAACCAGGGCACTTTTCCTGGACAGACCTGACACTGAAAGGGCTTGGCAATACGAACTTTGAAATGGGAGATCCTACGATGACTTTGTATTTTCTTTCTTTCATGGGGAGCTTTGATAAATAAATAGATATCCTAGTAGTGCAACTCCAACCCAAAACCAGGCTTCAAATTGGGGTTCACCCCAAAACCTCCAAGAAAGTAGCAAATAGTTTCTGAATCCATAATTTCTCAGTTAACAAGGAAGCGCAATAACTATGTGCACTAAGCATAAATGCACAGGAAATAAGGTAAGTTATGCAAAAATTTGAAGCTCACTTCAGTTTAGATATCCCAACAAAACCCTAATAATCGAACCCCAACCACATCCAAGCAGAGCAGAAAAACTACCAAATTATCCTCGGCTACTGGAAGTTTCCTTAGACTTGAAAGCTTAATACATGTTAATAAAAAAAATTCCTAAGTGCATATTTTATCAGCAAAATGACTAATTAGAAAAGTGGAAAGAAGCAACATATCATGGTGGAAAGAAAATCAGAACATACCCTCAGAAAGTTATAATAGCTGAAGGAGAGGCCAGTGGAGAAATCTGGGTAGAGGCTCTTCTTCTTTATAAAAGGAAGTGCTTGGTACATAAGCCAGGCTGCATGGTAATCACCGACCATTTACAGAAAGAAATCAACGGAGAAGGGGAGGGGGACTTGTACATGCAGCCAAAAATTGAAACCCAAGACTAATGAAACTATGAACTTACTTTCACCAGCCATCCCCGGAGGATACAAAACAATGAATGCAGTGTACCTAGTGGAAACCAAAAGTATTATAATTGCAAACGAAAATCATCTTCTGCTTGAATTGTAACGTTTAGTTGACTGGTATTGTAAGTATTTGCTTGTATGCGAACTTTTGAATTTATCATCACAATGAGAAAGAGTAGAACCTGAGATAGGTAATCCAAGATGGACAGCTCCCCCTGCAGTTAAAAGCATAATGTGGATACCTAATAACCTGCATACAGGTTTGTGATCATAGTTTGACATACGCTATTTAGTTAAACAAATTTTGATTGCATTATAAAGATTAAACCAAATTACCTCACTTAGGCTCCAAGAAACAAAAGTTATGAAGACTGATGGCGACTCCTGGACCTACAAAATGCTCAAAACAATGGTCCTCAATTAGTTGTGAACAATGAGCAAACCTCATAAATGTTCATATTGTGACAAGAACAAAGCACTTCTGCAGGACTACAGAATTTAGGATTTCTCCTTGTGCAATTTTTCTCAAGTGAAGCTGTATCCGACTACATTGCATGCTAAAATTGATTGAGCAAGTATCTGCAGATTCAACCTTGTAAACTATAGCTCCAGAAAGTACGAGTGGCCACAAGTTAGATTTGTAGGCTTTTACCAGAAACATATTTTGTATTTTATTACCCTATTTTTGCAACCCTAGTTCTTAAAGGTATATATGGAACATTAGGGCCTGGACATCAGGATGTGTGAAAGCTCGTGCAGAAGTTTCTCTACAGAGACAACACTGCCAGTGAGGTTGGGGTACATTCAGTGTTCTTGATTGAATGCAAGGGAAAATAAAAAATTATACTTTCACGAGGAAGAACCTATACATTCTGCATCGTGATACTTTTCTCCATTCAAATCATGGTCACTGGATTACCCCAGTTTGGGGTGAACCGCATAAAGCATACTGGTTCCAAGTACATATGTGATTGATCTTTACCTAGTATCCTTAATTTATCTTATATAGCAATTTGATTTGATTTGAGAATTTGGGATTGGGATCTTGAAATCCCTACGAACAAATATCCATATATGCATTCAAGTCCATGCTTAGTATACCATTGTCCCATTGCACAAACAAGCATCTCTTTATCACTCTCACCATGCAATATATTCACAGAAAGCTCATCATATCTCAAATAATCAAACACATAATTTTTTGTAGTGCTTAAACTGAAATTAAAACAGCAAACAGATAAAAAGGAGAGAAAGGAAAGAAGAAAACCTCATGGGTTTGGCGCACAACATACAGAAAATGCGCCCTTCCTGCCCATTGCATCAGAGGAAACACCACTCCACTCGGCACCAGACCTCAATTTTCAAAACACATATAAACACAGAACCCATAATCTTAACAAAATTACAAAAATAAACCTTATATAAATATTGGGTTTTCTTCTTTCAACACAAAAAAAAAAAATAATAATAATAAATAAATAAATTTTGGGCCTTTCAGAAAACCCACCAATGGCTCCGTGTATAACTTCCAAGAACTGGACCAGTTGGAGCAAATCTGCAGCAAAAAAAATGTAAACCCAACACTTCGTTAAAAAACAATTTCTTTGTTTAATTTAATCAGGATTTCAGAATTTGAAAAATTAGAACTAAATACTGACAGATAAGGTGTCCAGCAGAAGCGTAAGCGCCATTGACGGAGCTGCTCAAGCTTAGAGAGAGACAAACTGCCCTGCAATTAGAGAACCTTGATATGAATTTGAAAAAAAATCTGACAAACTGGGGAGGTGGGTTTTTAGTGTTGAGGGGGTTTTACCATGCAGCAGCCTGAAGAGAGTTGTAGGCCAAGAGATAGAGATTGGATAGCTTTGCCATTTCTGGCTTTCCGATTTTCAACGGTTGGCCTAAGAAATCCAGGCGACTTGGCGGGTTAATGGTGGTAGTTGGAGACCCTTTGGATTGGGCCCAAGTGGGTCAGGGGATGTTTACTTTCAGTAGCTATGGCTTGGTATGGGCTGGACTCTCATTTATGACTTCAAATTACTTATTAGATTTTTGCATTCAAAATTTTGTTCATATTTTCACGTGAGCAACATGCAAGCCACTTAAGAGTATAATTTCCATTAACCCCTAAACCTTTATAAAAAAAAAAAAAGGAATCATAATGAAACATTTTTTATACTGATCACTTTTAACGTTAAGATTATTTTTACCTTAAAAATTTACTTCTGATACTATTTACTTACATTTTTATTTTGTCATTTTAGAATTTTTCGTTAGTTTTTCTTAAAAAAAATGAATTTTCTATGCCTTGAAAATAGAAACCCAAGATCAACGATTCTCCCAACACCAACGGTATAGACCTGCACCGGCTGTTGCATTTTTTCATATAAATTGAAGCATGCAGTTGTGAATACTAGGATACTAGACGAGTATTTGCTTGCAAAACTAACCATATTTAGGGCTAGTTTGAAAGTGTTTTTAGAATTACTGAAAGCGCTATAACGTTGCCGACCTGTTTATTTTCCGGCGGCTTCAAATCCACTTTCTAGCCAACCTCTGTAACCACAAGCTCATCGGCGCCTGTTTCTTCTCAGCCGGCTTTGAATCTACTAACGGCAAGATGAATCAGACGACAGAGTGCCACTCCCCTAGAGACTCCGACGGTCATAAAACTCACACGGCCCAATCGCCGCCGGATGGTACGTTTTTCTGGCGTATACTCTCGGGTTCACCAAGGGAGTCGTCACCGGTATCGCTCCCAAGGTCCGGCTCGCCACGTACATGCTTTGCTGGAGCACCGGCTCCTACGACACTAACATCCTCACCGCCTTTGACGCCATAGTCGTCCCTGAGGTTGTTGCCCTGTTTTTCTCTATTAAATTTTCTACGGTTTTCATAATTTTAAATTTTAAATTCAAAAAGTAAAACTAGTTGATTTTCAACAGTATAAAATAAGAACACATGTTAGATTTTGAATAGAAGTATCACAAGTGACATGTTAGTTGGTACTACTGTACCACACTAATTTCTCCACATCGAGAGCACAATTTTTCGGTAGGTTTTATATTAGGTTTCTCTCTTATATTAGTAATTAGGATTTGGGCAATTTGAAATGAGAATTAAGACTTGGGCTTTCAATTGTGTGGATTAGGCTTGTGTATATACCATAATATTAATTAATCAAGACTTGGGCCTTAGGCCTTGGGCCCATGGTCAATTGGGACCTTGGAAGTTAAAATTAATTAGTATTAATTAATTCTAATTTCGGATTAAGTTTTAAATAATGTTATAAAAATTTTAATTAGGAGACACAACGGTCGGAAAGAAAGAGTTATGCATTTTCAGATACACCCAAGAGGTACTTCTGATTTAGAAAATGCATTTGCGTGTTTACTCTCTGCAAGTTTTTGTATGGGAGAGAAAGAAAGGAACACTATTCTTTAAGGAACACAAATCGATTTGCTAAATCACATCAGACTTCAACAATTCGAACGGGAAACAATGAACTCAATTAGATGTCTCAAATATCACAACGCGCAAAACAAGGCGAGCGCTGCACACGAAAAATGAGGTGGGATACGTCACACAAATCGAGGTCAGCCTTGCACAAAAGACGAAGTTGGCTCTGTGGATGCAAAAAAATGGCGCCCTTTTGCCATGCAAAACGATGCGAACACCTCACATGCAGAAGAAGACGAACCCAAGCACACAAGACGAGGTGGGCTCTGGGCACACAGAACGAGGCGAACTCCTGGATGCTCAGAAAACGAGTCGAGCTCTACGCACGGAAAAATATATTTTTAAGAACATGAATATGATAGTTTGTTGTAGTGGTAACAGAAATAAAAGAAACATTAACAAAAAATATCCAAATTCTTGTGGGTGCCACAAAGTCATGTGTGACTTTCTAGTTGCCACAAGGAGGGTGAAAGACTATTTAACAAAACAAAATTTCACTGTTTTTTTTTTAAACATCACCTACAAGTGATTGATTTTAACATCTCTAATTTAAAAAAAAAAATTAAATAATATACACTAAATATACATTTTAACACCTCTGTATTTTTCACTTATTTTTTTACTTTTGAGCTTAAATATTCTACTAAATATACACTTGTTGCTCAATAAATCGTAAATCCAATTCCAAATACATTATAAAGATTTCCTTAATGCTCACGGAAAATATTATGAGAAAATAAAAAAAAAATCATTTTTTACAAAAAAACGTCACGGTTTTCAGTCAGTTTTGCAAATTAGTACATAAATTAACGTTCAACCTTTTTATTTTCAACTCCACCTCACTGTGAAATTTAAAAAATTAAGGTGAGACTTTCCGTTGAAATTCTTGATTATAGAACCTCATTTGACAAAGTCCTCACTACTATTTTTTTCACTTATTTTTTTGGTTTTTGGCTTAAATATTCTACTAAATATACATTTGTTGCTCAATAAACGCAAAACTACTTCTAAATTCCTTAAAAAGTTTAACTTAATGCTTAGGAAAAATATTTAGCGAAATCTTTTTTTTGCATTTTTGTCAAAAAAACATGGGTGTTAGGTGGGCCTGATGCATACAAAACGAGGCAAATTTAGCTCACGTAAAACAAGATGAACCATGACACAAAAAACAAGGCGGGCTCCGTTCACAAATAATGAACGGGTTTTGGCATGCAAAACAAGGCAAGCTCTGGCCACAGAAACGAGGCGGGTTACGTGCACGCAAAAATGATGCAAGCTCTGTGGATGCAAAAAGGGGCAAGCTTCTGGCACGCAAAATGATGTGTACACCTCACATGCAGAACGAGGCAAACCCAAGCACACAAGATGAGGCTGGCTGCACACACACAAAATGAGACGAACACCTGGGTGCCTAGAAAACAAGTCAGGCTCCATGCACGAAAAAATTATATTTTGAAGAACATGAATATTATAGTTTGTTACTTTGTTGTAGTGGTAAGAGAAATAAAAGAAAAATTAACAAAAATGATCCAAATCCCATAGGTAAATCCAAGTTATTGTTAATTTTTCTTTTATTTCTCTTACCATTACAACAAATTATCATATTCATGTTCTTTAAAATATATTTTTCTGTACAAAATCTATTATAATTCATATTTAAACACTCGTAAACAATGATTTAAAACCTAAATTTAAAGATATTTGAACCTTTTTTTTGTTAAATTTTCTTTTATCTAAATATGAAATATATATTAATAGAACATTCTTTGTTAACCAAAAGAGGGTGAAAGTGTCACATCCCAGCCCGGGTCCCCACCACATCACGGGCTCAACTCCCCTGTAGCATGATATTGTCCTCTTTAGGCCCCGACCACGCCCTCATGGTTTTGTTTTTGAGAACTCACATAAGAACTTCCTAGTGGATCACCCATCATGGGATTGCTCTCGCGCGCTACTCGCTTAACTTAAGAGTTCCAATGAACTCCTAAGCCAGTGAGCTCCCAAGGCCTCGTGCTAGGTAGAAATGGAAATGTATATATAAGGCTTAGAGGATCCATTCCCTTGGGTGATGTGGGATGTTACAATCCGCCGCCCTTAGGAGCCCAACGTCCTTGTCAGCACACAACCGGGCAGGGATTGGCTCTGATACTAAATTGTCACATCCTGGCCCGGGGTCCACCACATCTCGGGCCTGTTTCACCACCGTAACACGATATTCTCCGCTTTAGGCATCGACCACGCCCTCATGATTTTGTTTTTGGGAACTCACACGAGAACTTCCCAGTGGGTCACCCAACTTGAGATTGCTCTCGTGCGAACTCACTTAACTTCAAAGTTCGATAGAACCCGAAGCCAGTGAGCTCCCAAAAGGCCTCGTGCTAGGTAGGGATGGGAAGATACATATAAGGATCACTCCCCTAGGCGATGTGGGATCTAACAATCCACCCCCTTAGGGGCCCAACGTCTTCGTCGGCACACCACGGCCAAGGTTAGGCTATGATACCAAATTGTCACATCTCGGCCCTGGTCCCCACCACATCACAGGCTTGACTCCACCGTAACACAATATTGTCCGCTTTAGGCCCCGACCACGCCCTCACAGTTTTGTTTTTGAGAACTCACACGAGAACTTCCCAGTGGGTCACCCATTATAGGATTGCTCTCGCGCGCTACTCACTTAACTTCGGAGTTCCAATGAACTTCGAAGCCAGTGAGCTCCCAAAAGGCCTCGTGCTAGGTAGAAATGGGAATATATATAAGGCTTACGGGATCCACTCCCATGGACGATGTGGGATGTTACAGAAAGACTATTTAACAAAACAAAATTTTGTTATTTTTTGTTTTAGCCTCACCCACAGGTAATAAAATTAAAAAGTATACACTAAATATACATTTTAACATCTCTATATTTTTCACTTATTTTTTACTTTTGGGCTTAAATATTGTACTCAATATACTCTTGTTGCTCAATAAATTGTAAATCCACTTCCTTATACATTATAAAGATTTTCTTAATACTCACGGAAAATATTTCGAGAAAATAAAAAATTTGCATTTTTTACAAAAACGTGGATTAACACTTACGGTTTTCCGTCGGTTTTGTAAATTAGTACATAAATCATCGTTCAATTCTTTTATTTTCACCTTCGCCTCAATGTGAAGTTTTGAAAATTAAGGTGAGACTTTCCGTTGAGATTCTTGAGTGTAGAACCTCATTTGACAATGTTTTGGGGCTCACTACTATATTTTTCACTTATTGTTTTAGTTTTCGACTAAAATATTCCACTAAATATACATTTGTTACTCAATAAACCGTAAAACTGCTTCCAAATTCCTTAAAAAGTTTAACTTAATGTTCAACAAAAATATTTTGCGAAAATAAAAAATTTGCATTTTTGTCAAAAAACATAGGTGTTAGGTAGGCTCGACCCATGCAAAACAAGGCGGACTTAGCTCACACAAAATAAGGTGAACTATGGCATGCAAAATAAGGCGGGTTCCGCTCACATAA